TTACAAGAGTGTCAAGAATCAATTTACTCTGATGCAAAATTTTCATTATGTACTTTATAGACTGATCATTATAAATATATCAATTACTTTATAACAAACATAATTCTACTTACTCTGACGGATGCTTTCCTTGATCTTGAAACGGATTCCCACGCATCGATCTTGTTTTTGGGTCGTAATATGCTGAATTTGGGTTCAAATTGTACAGATATTTTGCTGTATCTTCTCGAATACGGAGATTCCGCACAGTGATTCGTCTGAAATAATGCATAGATTAATTAATATTTATATGCGAGATTTGAAAGCTAAAATCCTAAGTACATTCTTATCTCCAACATACAGCCATAGTATCAAACTTTGTCTCTATAAAACGCTACAATGTTTTCATTGCAAACTTTACACTGTGTAACTCTCTGCAATGCAATCGTGAATGGTCCCTAATTCAACCAACCAATCAGTATCACCGAAAGTTGTCAGAAATAGTGTGTACTGACTATATGTATCTTGTATCCTTTGGCAAAAGGCGCTAAATAAATTTCTATATTATTATTATATGAAAACCAGGCTTTAAGAATGTACAGTCTTACTTTGGGATTCCTATGGAAATAATTGCAATTGTTGGTTATCTTTGAAATGCCTTTCACACAGTATATTTTAAATTTAAAAAACTAAATAGAAAAAAAAAATGAAATGATAGAAAACTAAATACTGTGTTATGATTGGCTTACCTTTTACTGTCAAAATTAGTACCAGGCATGTCAAAATCATCAGCATACTTGTCCTCATCCTCACTATTGTCACTATCCCCCTGCAGTATAAACAACATTCTCATTAAGCCCGGTTCACACTTACCAAATTTTATTTGAAAAAAACATGTCACATGCCTAAATAATATCATGATGACATCACATCATATAGGCACATCATGACTATATATGGGTACATCATGACTATATATAGGAACATCATGACTATATAAGGGTACATCGAGACTATATATAGGCATATCATGACTATATATGGGCATACAACTACAGTACTTTGTCAAAGAAAATTTGCTTGTGTGGACAGGTTTCTATAAATAAATTTTATTTTATTGACAAAATACATCAAAATTGGTCACAAATTGTAGGCCGAAGGCTAAATTGCTTGTGATTCTAACCATTCTCATTACAAAAGAAATATATATAAAAAAATCTGACAACAGATATAAATACACAAAAATACAATAAAGAGATTAACTAACACTATGTGTGTTCAAGGCAAATCGTTAACACCGCATACTGCGTAACCGTCCCTGATACAAAAGGGAAAGATCCCCACTTCAACTGACAAATCAGTGTCGCCAAGAACTGTCAGTGATACGTATAGTGATTTATGGAAACCAGGTTTTACAGATAAAACAATGTTATTTTATCATCATTACTTTGTGTTATTTGTATTATTATACACAGCCTGATATACTAACCTTCTCTTTCTCCCTCATTGGTTTTCCTGACATCATCTCACCTTCTAGCTGGGCTGCTTTTAACTCTTTTTTAGCCTAAAAAACAGATAAAAGAGTAAGAAAGTAACAATAATATTTAATAATCAGCCCAGGTAAAAACAATCATGTTCACAGTGTATTACTACTGATTACTGTAATGCAGCTAATTGCCTGAACGTTTATTTGGGTCTAAAAAGGATTAAAGCAAATTTGTGGGTGAAATCCTAGAATTTGGAAACTAACACTGTGGGTTGCTATACTTTAATAAAACATATTAATTAAGGTACCACACTAAATCACTGTATATCAATTTAAGAGTGAGATTCTGAATAATTATTAGATAATCTTAACTTTTATTATTAATAATAATAGTATAACACTGTTCATACCTCTTCAATTTTAGCAAATTCTTCAAGAACATCATCATAATCTTGTTCATCATATCCATTCCATCTGTCACGTTTACTCGCATAATCAAATGACAACTTAGGCTGTTCATACTCGTCAGGAGCGATGTTATTACTTGTGAACCTGGCACCAACCCGCCTTGGCCTCTGTACAGTAATATAAGACGAATATGTTGACTCATGTCTATATGGGTTGAGACGATTGGCCAAGCGGTTAAGGCAGGAATAGCTGTAACCTACATCCACAATGTCGGCGCTGGTTCGAGCAGCACACTTTGCCCACTGTTCTTGTGGTGGAACAAGTCTTCTCGGATATGACTATAAACCGTATGCCCATACACTGTACACAATTGGCTTGTGTGCACTTTAAAGAACCCAGTACATCATTCGAGACGAGTAGGGGATACCCTATACTGGGGGGACAAAGTAGCTAAGACACGAAAAGACCCTCAGGGATGTAGGAAGTTATGGAACAAGATACATCCATGCATTGAGCGCCATGAGCGTCAGGTTTGGCGGATAACACTATACAAATATCCACTATTATTATTATTATTATTATTAAATACACACATATTTACATATGACACTTCATTGCTTAAAATGTTATGTTCCCATAAAATACAATATTACTGTATGTGTAATCAATTGAAGGAAAGGGTAAATGCCAGGCATCCTAAAAAGTAGACTGCAATAGTTAGAACACTTCTTTTTGGCATAGAGTACAGTCTACTCACTGTATGAAATATATTCAATATCAGAAACATATTGGTCTTATCAAAATGATGATTTACTGCAGCCATGTAACATAAGACCTGAAGATCTACTGTACTTACAAGATTAAGATTAATCGTTTATAAAAAGTTTCACAGTATTTAATTTTTTATTTAATGTATTATTGATTTTTATGTTACTAGGGGTCCGTAATATAATATTTTAAAAAGGCAACATTGACAAAAATGTTAATTTAAAGTTTTAGTCTTTGTACAGTATATTTTAAATAGGTTATTTGCTTTCAACTATCAAAAAAGAAAAAGAAGAGAAAAAAAGAGAAAAAGAAGAAAAGTAATAAAACAAACTGTATTTTTTAAAGAGTAATGACAAATAATAACATAATGTATGCTTTTCCCTTTTTATTGATTTCAATGTTCCTTGTATATTACGTTACTGTGTTATATTATGTTTAAAAAAAAAAGATTTCCTGTACCTCTAAGCAATCCTTCTTTTTGTGAGTTATCGCTCCACAATTAGTACACGCTCCTTTTCTGAACTTTGTTGCAACTGCACCCTGTCAATCATAAAACATAACCAGAATTATTTGGATTGTTTCTATTATTGCAATTAAACAATGCACAAAATCTCCAAGTGCTGGACAAATATAGGGCTTGCCATGCCTAAACCAGCATCCGTGACCAAAACAAGAAAACCGAAATGTTAATATTCATATTCTCCACATTATAAGCTTTGAAGTGATGAAATTTACTGGAATCGACTTACTATTGCCAACGTTATCGGTAAAAGTTTTACATCTTCTCTGTACTACATTATACAATACTGCCACCATATTTTTATTCTAATTACTCAGTTTAACATTTAGGGACAGTAAGCTGGTTTTAGGATGGCAAGCCTTATACAGTATACAACTGCATGAATTATGTAAACATGTGTTTTTTGGAGATGCACAAGTGTTCCTGGCTCTGTTATGATTCGTCAGTTTTTAAGTTTGATCATCACTCTGTCAAGGTTCCTTTTAACTTACCTCTTTGACTCCTTTCTTGTACCACTGATCAATGCCATTGTAGACCTTCTTCTTTTCCTCCTGAACACGTTGATGTTTTAAAGTCGGATGATCTAAACCAACATACCAAGGTACTGTTGATATATACTGCGGAATATGAGGGTTGATATCTCTGGGGAACAAAAACATGTATGTTACACATTAACACACTATAAACATAGTTTGTAATTGCAATAAAGTTCAGCAAAATTTAAGGAGGGTTTAAAGGTGTCCAATGCATTAACTGATTGCAGATAGAAAGCAAATCCATTATAAACTAATTAGGCAATCTGAAGACACCCACCAGACGGCAACAAATTTTTGGCATTTTTGCAATCTTGTCAGGCTTGTGTTGATTTCATTTGAATTTAAACTTATACGGTTTTTTTTTCTTTTATTTGTAATGTTTTCTTTGTGCTTTTATCATTTTCTTTTCTGAAATTATTTTAAAGTCAATGTTCTGTACCTTCCTTCTTCATCCACAAGAGCTGGAGCGGTTCCAGCTTTCCTAGCCTCTTCTAATTCTTTTGCTTTCCTCCAATCTTCTCTTTTGTTCTCGGATGTTGGCTTGGTATACGTTTCCTCAGCAGTTGCACTGGCCCTTGAGGGCAGTACATTAGACTTGGACATCATGTTAAAAAATGTCTAGATAATTCCTTTGGCCTATACTTTATACTGAAATTATAAGTGAGGCAGGGTTTAAACAGCGCTGAAAAAGTCAGAAATAAACATTAATAATAAATTAATGGATTTATATAGTGCAAATAAACAAGATCTATATTCTGACATTGAGATTTAGTAAATACGGTAATACCATTAATTGAAATTATCACATTTCATTAAATAATAAAGCTAAAACGTAGGCACATTATTTAAATTTTTAATTGATTAAGTGTACTAATTATGAAATGCTCTTACCATAATGTTTTTGTTGGTAGGGTTTCTGTTTGTCTCTAAGTAAGACTAATTTCTAGATTTACATTTATTGTATAGAGTCTAATTGTACAGCAGGCCTAGTCTGTATATTGTAGATTATTACACATTTTCATCTACGGTAATTGAAGCTAGCCTATGGTAGGCCTAGACCTCTAGGCCTAATGAATCAAGAGATTTCTTGGAAGACCAAACCAATCAAAGACCAGACCCAACACAAATGACAGAGAGCCTCTATATACTATATAATATAGTACTCTACCAAAAATTTACTAATTGTACTACTCGAATGTTCATCCAGCATTTCATGGTACAGCAAAGAGGGCAGGACCTACCTCATAGGCTAGGCCTACCAACCAACCAGCCAGCACCTGGTCAAGAGTGCGAAGCCTACCTAGCATAACCTAGGGCCTAGCCTAGACAGAAAGGAGGAAGAAGGGCCTCAGCAGGCTAGACGGGCCTAGCCTAGGCCCTATTTCTACTTGACCAGACTTACGTTTAGGACTAGGCCTAGAAGGATAGTACACACTTTGGATTCCCACACTTTGTAAACAAAACACAATTTTCATTACATAACGAACTAGGCCTACTTCTAGTGTTTACAGTTTACTACACCAGAACTTTTCGAGCGACGATCATTAATCGTAGACGTCGTCTTAAATC